TGGCCGGATCTCAGCTCACTGCAAGCTCCGCCTCCCGGGTTGCCTCCCGAGTAGCTGGGATTATTGGCACATGCCACCATGCCCAGCTAATTTGTGTATTTTTATAGGAGATGGACTTTCGCAGTGTTGGCCAGGGTGTTCTTGAACCCCTGACCTTGTGATCCGCCTGCTTTGGCCTCCCAAAGTGCTGGGATTACAGGCATGAGCCACCATGCCTGGCCATTATGTTTTAAATATGTCTCCATTTCTATTTCTAAGTATTTCTAATATTTCTAGATTTGTAAATATAGACAAATTTAAACCACATAGACAGAAGTTCTTTGAGGTCTTCAGTGTTTTTTAAAAATATAAAGGGGTCTTGGCACCAGAACATCTGAGAACTATTAAATTAGAAGTGTGAGAGCCTCAATGAATGTGTTGAATGAATGAATGAAAAAACTGCTAAATTTCATGACTATTTCCCATTCACCTAACTCAAGTTTATGTGAACAGGGGTTGTGTTGCATTCTCACATGTAAGTACCTCTTTCGTCCAGGGTAGCATAGTTAAATCCCATTCAGTTCGTCAACAGGTATTTACTGAGCATCTGAGCAAGAACCGTACTCAGCATAAAACCAGGTTCTGCCCTCAGAAAGCTCTCAATCCAGTGGCTGGGCACAGTGGCTCACACCTGTAATCCCAGCACTTTGAGAGGCCAAGGTGGGAGGATCACATGAAGCCAGGAGTTTGAGACCAGCCTGGGCAACAGAGTGAGACTCCATTTCCACAAAAAAATTTAAAAATTAGCCAGGCATGGTGACACATGCCTATAGTCATAGCTACTTGGGAGGTGGAAGCAGGAGGGTCGCTCAAGCCCAGGAGATCAAGAGATCAAGGCTGCTGTGAGCTGTGATCGCACCACTACACTCAAGCCTAGACGACAGAGCAAGACCCTGTCTCAAAAAAAAATATATATATATGTGTGTGTGTGTGTATGTATATATATATATGTGTGTGTATATATATATATAGAGAGAGAGAGAGAGAAAGCTCTTAATCTAGTGAACAATCAGATGAATTTGCAAATAATTTCAGAAGTGTCATGCAATGCTTTGAGAGGGGTTTTCACCAGGAAGAATAGCATAGGAGAGAAGACGCGATCAGTACTTACATTTGCAGGAGACAGTAACAGGATGGAATTGGGGCAACATCATAAAACAGGGGAGATGTGATTGCTTGACTGAATCTTCCAAAAGAACTGGGCAAGCACACAGCTGGTCAAGATGGAGAAAGGGCATCCCAGGGTGATACTGAAGTTTGTTGGAAGGCTGTGAATAAGCCTGGGGTGGAAGGTCATGTGGCGTGTCAATGACATCAGTTACTCCAGGGTGCAAGGATGGGGCTGGATGGGAGAAGGGCCATCATAGAGGGTATTGGGTGCCATAGTGGGAATCTGTATAAGCTGCGGGGCTTGCTGACCCCTGGTTCCTGCCCTCCAGACCATGATGAGAATCCAGGACAGTCTTCGTGGCTCTGTGTGGACTTCTCTTCTTTCCCCACTCCCTCTCTCCCCTGCACCCCCAACGACAGCCACATCAGCTGTTCATGTGCCTCAAACAGCTTCCTATCTCAGGAGCTTTGCACAGGAGGCTTCCTTCAGTCTGGAATGTTCTATCTCCATCCCCTCGCTTCTGCCCAGTTAACTGCTAAATGTTCTTCAGGCTTGAACTCAAGTGTCCCCACCTCCAGGAAGCCTTCCTTGACTACCTCTTGGATCAAACTGATCCCTCTGTCACACATCTCTATAATACCACGGAAATCTCCTTCAGAGCGCTGTCTACAATTAGGCACCCACTGTACACCATGCTCGGAATGAATGGGTTTACAGGAAGCTTACAGACTGGCATGGAGAGACAGATAATAAACAATAAACACATAAGATAATCATTATTACTATAATAATAGCTAACACTTATAGAGCACTTACTGTTTGCCAGCCATTATTCCAAGTGCCTTCTTTTTTTATATTATTTTTTATTTTTTTAGACAAGGTCTCACTCTCTCCCAGTCTGGAGTACAGTGACATGATCATAGCTCACTACAGCCTCAACCTCCTGGGCTCAAGCGATCCTCCCACCACTTCAGCCTCCCGAGTAGCTGGGATGGCACATGCCACTATGCCCAGCTAATTTTTTCTTTTTGTAGAGACATGGGGCATGGGGGTGGAGGAAGTCTCACCATGTTGCCCAGGCTAGTCTCTGGCCTTGAGCCATCCTCCTGCCTTGGCCTCCCAAAGTGCTGGGGTTATAAGCATGAGCCACTGTGCCCAGCTTCTTTTTTATGGTTTTGCTTTTAAAAAAACTTTTTGTTTAGATTTTTATATTATCATTTTCCTCAAACATTTCATTTTGAAAAATTTCAAACCTGCAGAAAAGTTGCATGAAACTCTTCTATTCTTCACCCAGATTTACTGATCATTAACTTTTTACATTTGCCCTTTTTTTGACATCAATTTTTTTTCCCCTAAACCAGTTAAGAGTAAGTGGTAGACATTTAGATTCTTCATCCCTAAATACTTCAGTGTGCATCTCCCAGGAACAAGGACATACTTTTTTTTTTTTTTTTTTTTTTGGGAGACGGAGTCTAGCTCACTCTGTCGCCCAGGCTGTAGTGCAGTGGCGTGATCTCGGCTCACTGCAACCTCTCCCTCCTGGGTTCAAGCGATTCTCCTGCCTCAGCCTTCCAAGTAGCTGGGACTACAGGTGTGTGCCACCATGCCTGGCTAATTTTGTATTTTTAGTAGGGACTGGGTCTCACCATGTTGGCCAGGATGGTCTCGTTTCTGACCTCAGGTGATCCCCCCGCCTCAGCTTCCCAAAGTGCTAGGATTACAGATGTAAGCCACCATGCCTGGCCACCCAGGAAATTTTTAATTAACATAAAATATTATTTAATATATGGTACATATTCAGATTTCTCCAGTTGCCTTCAAAGCACCCTTTATAGCTGGGATTTTTTTGCCCCACCTGGGACCAATCAAGACTCATGTGCTACATTTGGTTGTCACATCTAAGTACTTTTAACATGTTAATTAATGTTCCAATGAGGGGGTTCTATCCCCATTTTACAGATGGGAAAACTGAGGCACAGAGCAGTTGCATTGTTTGTCCAAGTTCCCTGCCTCTCTCTCTCTTTTTTTTTTTGAGGGGGAGTTTCGCTTTTTTTTTTTTTTTTTTTGAGACGGAGTCTTGCCCTGTCGCCCAGGCTGGAGTGCAGTGGCGCGATCTCGGCTCACTGCAACCTCTGCCTCCTGGATTCATGTGATTCTCCCGCCTCAGCTTCCCGAGTAGCTGGGATTACAGGCATGCACCACCACGCCCGGCTAATTTTGTATTTTCAGTAGAGACAGGGTTTCTCCATGTTGGTCAGGCTGATCTCAAATTCCTGACCTCAGGTGATCCACCCACCTCAGCCTCCCAAACTGCTGAGATTACAGGCATGAGGCACTGCACCTGGCCCGATCTCTCTCTTTTTTAAAAAATTTAATTTAATTTTAAGTTGTAGGATGCATGTGCAGGATGTACAGGTTTGCTACATAGGTAAACGTGTGCCATGGTGGTTTGCTGCACCTATTGACCCATCACCTAGGTATTAAGCCCCGCATGCATTAGCTATTTATCCTGATGCTCTCCCTCCCCTAGCCCCACAACAGGCCCCAGTGTGTGTTGTTCCCCTCCCTGTGTCCGTGTGTTCTCATTGTTCAGCTCTGACTTATGAGTGAGAACATGCAGTGTTCGGTTTTCTGTTCCTGTGTTAGTTTGCTGAGAATAATGGCTTCCAGCTCCATCCATGTCCCTGCAAAGGACATGATCTCATTTCTTTTTATGGCTGCATAGTATTCCATGGTGTTTATGAACCACATTTTCTCTATCCAGTCTATCACTGATGGGCATTTGGGTTGATTCCATATCTTTGCTGTTGTGAATAGTGCTGCAGTGAACATATGCGTGCATGTATCTGTTTATTGCAGCACTAGTCACCTGCCTTTCCTCTTGACTCTTGTGTTCTATTCTCAACCCAGAAGGCAGAGGGATCACTTTAAACTGCAAATCATATCAGGTCACTCCTCTGCTCCAAGCCCTGCCATGGGCCCTTCTCTCAGAATAAGAGCCAAAGACCTCACAATGGCCCATAAGGACCTATACCATCTGCATCCCTCACCCTCCATCACTTCTGTGACCTCATCTCCCTCTCCCATCCACCCCCCCGCCCAAAAACCCCAGCCCAGCTACCCTCTCCTTCCTTTTCCTCCACACATCAGACACAGTCCAGCCTCAGGGCCTCTGCACATGCTGTTCCTGTGGCCAGGAGCACTTTTCCCTGAGATCTCATCAGGGCTCACTCCTCACCGACCTGCAAGTTTTACCCAAATGTCAGTATCTCCATGAAGTTTTCCTTAACGTCCCAACCCACCCAAGCCCTCTCTGTTCCTTCTCCCTCATGCTTTGTTTTTTGGGGTTTTTGTTTTGTTTTGTTTTGTTTTTTTAGACGGAGTCTTGCTCTGTCACCTAGGCTGGAGTGCAGTGGCACAAACTCAGCTCAGTGCAACCTCTGCCTCTGGGTTCAAACGATTCTCCTGCCTCAGCCTCCCGAGTAGCTGGGGCTACAGGCGCCCACCACCATGCCCGGCTAATTTTTGTATCTTTTAGGAGAGACGGGGTTTCATCCTGTTGGCCAGGGTGGTCTCAAACTCCTGCCTCAGGTGATCCGCCCGCCTCAGCCTCCCAAAGTGCTGGGATTACAGTCGGGAGCCACCACACCCTGCCCCTCCCCTGCTGTTTCATCTTGGTGCTTCCTATTGATAACTCGGTATTTTAGAGTCGCATTGTCTCCCACACGCTAGTGCAGGCGCCCCGAAGACAGGGGTTGTCTGTCTAATCCGCTGCCGCGTCTCCTGCTCCCGGGACCGAGGCGGACGCGCGGTAAAGAGTCCTGGTGCCTGCTGATTGCTGTCCCCGCAGCACGTGTTCTGTGAGGAGTGCCTCTGCCTGTGGCTGGACCGCGAGCGCACCTGCCCGCTCTGCCGCTCGGTCGCCGTGGACACCCTGCGCTGCTGGAAGGACGGCGCCACGTCCGCACACTTCCAGGTGTACTAGGACCGAACAACCGAACACTGAGGACACCCGGAAGGACGCCGAGGGTCAGCATGCTCGGACCCAGCCCTGCGGGGGCTTCCTGAAAAACAGGCCTCAAGCACTTACATCCTGCCTCTTGCCCACCACCACTTCTGACCCCAAAACCCCGCCGCTGTCTTGTCCTTCTGACCTTCACCTTCCTCTCTCGTTCTGTGGTGTAGTGCGTGCCTCCTTCCCCTGCAAAAGGGGACGACTTCCTAACTCAGACTTGAAGCCCTTCTAGATGCGTCTTCCTTCTCCGCTCCAAGTCAAGGACCTGGCAATACATGAAGTTCCCACTTGTCGGTTATTTTCTTTCTTTCCCTCCCTCCTTCCCTCCCTCCCTCCCTCCCTTCTTCCTTCCTTCCTTCCTTCCTTCCTTCCTTCCTTCCTTCCTTCCTTCCTTTTTTTTTCTTTGACAGGTTCTCGCTCTGTCACTCAGGCTGGAGTGCAGTGGCACAATCTCGGCTCACTGCGACCTCCACTTCCTGGGTTCAAGCGATTCTCCTGCCTCAGCCTCCCAAGTAGTTGGGACTACAGGCGCCCACCAACATGTTTGGCTAATTTTTGTATTTTTTAGTAGAGACAGGGTTTTGCCATGTTGGCCAGACTGGTCTCCAACTCCTGACCTCAAATGATCAGCTCGCCTTGGCCTCACAAAGTGTTGGGATTACAGGCATGAGCCACGACGCCCAGCCTCATTCCTTTTTTTTTTTTTTTTGAGACAGGGTCTGGGTCTTCACCCAGGCTGGAGTGCAGCTGACACAATCACAGCTCACTGCAACCTTGAACTCCTGGGCCCAAGCCATGCTCCCGCCTCAGCCTCCCAAGTAGCTGGGACTACTGGCATGCGCCACCAGGCCTGGCTAATTATTATTATTATTATTATTATTATTATTATTATTAGGAGAGGCGAGGACTCATTATGTTATCCAGGGTGGTCTCAAACTCCTGGGCTCAAGCAATCCTCCTGCCCTGCCCTCGCAAAGTGCTGAGTGCTATTACAGGTGTGAGCCACTGTGTCCAGCCCACCTGCTGGTTATTTTAACTTAGTACCCAGTACCTTGTACTTGATGCCACAGGCTGGGGAGGAGCCTAGAAATCACTGCCTCCCAGATAGCCCAGGCCTGCAGATTAGAATCCCTGTGAGTCCTGTACAGTATTTTCTTTTTTCTTTTTATTTTTGTTGTTGTTGTTGCAGTGAAACAGAGTCTTGCTCTGTCGCCCAGGCTGGAGTGCAATGGCACGATCTTGGCTCACTGCAACCTCCGCCTCCCATGTTCAAGTGATTCTCTTGCCTCAGCCTCCCGAGTAGCTGGGACAACAGGTGTGTGCCACCATGCCCGGCTAATTTTTTTTGTATTTTTCGTAGAGACGGGGTTTCGTCACATTGTCCAGGCTGGCCTCAAACTTCTGACCTCAAGTGATCCACCCGCCTCACCCTCCCAGAGTGCTGGGATGACAGGCGTGAGCCACCACACCTGGCCCAAAGTATTTTCAAAATACAGCTGTTAGGTCCCACCATATACCTGTAATAACTTAATGTCCCAAATACTTCATCCTCGGCAGGCACAGCATCCAGCCTCCTGCTTGGATTCCGTGCTGTCACCCTCACAACAGCCCTGTGATGGGGGAGGTACTGTGGGGTCCCCTGTTTTATAGATGAGGAAACTTGGGCACAGAGCTTGGTGCGGTAACTTTCCCAGGGTCACCCAGCCAGCACGGGCGGGCTGAGTTTCCAACAGAGGCCTGGGACAGCTTTAGAACCCACATTTTAAAAAAAATTTTTTTTTTTTTTAATTAGAGATGAGGTCTCTAATAAAAATCCAGGTTGTCCAGGCTGGATTCAAACTCCTAGGCTCAAGTGATCCTCCCTCCTCAGCCTCCCAAGTAGCTGCAACTACAGGCACACTCCACTATCCCCAGCAGAGCCCACACTCTTAACCGCCAGACTGATCTGCCCCTCAGACATTCCAGGCGTGGGGCCCAGCAGACATGGTTTTCTAAAAGCAAACAAGAGGCCGGATGCAGTGGCCCATGCCTGTAGTGCCAACACTTTGGGAGGCTGAAGCAGGCGGATCACCTGAGGTCAGGAGTTCAAGACTAGCCTGGCCAACATGGCAAAACCCCCTCTCTACTAAAAAATACAAAAATTAGCCGGGCATGGTGGCGGGTGCCTGTAATCCCAGCTACTCAGGAGGCCGAGGCAGGGATAATTGCTTGGACCCGGGAGACAAAAGTTGCAGTGAGCAACTGCACTCCAGCCTGGACGACAGAATGAGACTCCATCTCATAAATAAATAAATAAACGCACACAAGGTGATTTTAATGCTCATCCTGGTTAAGAATGAGTGGCCCAGGCACATAGCCTGTTAGATATGAACTATGTTAAGAACGTGAATGCTAGATCCTGAAATCTACTTGTGGCTGGGTCAACAGAAAAACATAGCCCTTAAATTAATTGCCATTTTCGCCAGAAATGGGGGCTCCTGCCTGTAATCCCAGCACTTTAGGAGGCCAAGGTGGGTGGATCACTTGAGGTCAGGAGTTCAAGACCAGTCTACTAAAAATACAAAAATTAGCTGGGTGTGGTGGTGGGTGCCTGTAATCCCAACTACTCTGGAGGCTGAGGCAGGAGAATCGGCTTGAACCCAGGAGGCAGAGGCTGCAGTGAGCCGAGATTGCACCACAGCACTCCAACCTGGGTGACAGAGTGACCAAGACTCTGTCTTAAAAAACAAAAAAACAAAAAAAAGAAAGAAAGAAAGGTCAGTTTTGGCCCAGATGTGGTTACCCCTTGGTCTCCTGTCTTTATGTCTTTCTCCTCTTTCTATTCTGTCATCTCCCTTACTTAAGTCTCAGGCCTGTCAGCGGCTCCTGTGGACATTGCCATCCCCTCTGGTAGCAAACAGGACAACCCATGTTATGGATGTCTCCACCAACCAGGGTGGCGGCCTGGAGCACCGTAACCATCTGTGCTTCTATGATCTCTGACAGAGCCACTTCTCCACCTCTGAAATGCTCCCTGCTCTGAAATCTGGGATGAGATGGCACAGGTGACCACGCAGAAGCCACTGGAATCTTGCCTGCCCTATTCATCTCCCAACTCTGTTCTCTTATTGTCAACCTCAGCACAACAGGCTGGCACCAATGGCATTGCAGAGAAAGCAATCTGTGTGGCCAGTGGGCAGATTAGCGTGCAAGCCCCAGGAGAAATGGAGGAGCTTTGCAGCCACCTCGCTGTCAGCCTGTATTAACATGTCCCCTGCCCCCACCCCCGCCATAGATTCAGGACATTCACCCCTGTGTGCCACCAAGCCAGGACTTTCCCCTTGGCTTGGCATCCCTGGCTCTCTCCTGGTACCCAGCAAGACGTCTGTTCCAGGGCAATGTAGCATCTTTCAAGCTCTGTTACTATGGCGATGGCCATGATGTTACAATCCCACTTGCCTGAATAATCAAGTGGGAAGGGGAAGCAGAGGGAAATGGGGCCACGTGAATGCAGCTGCTCTGTTCTCCCTACCCTGAGGAAGAACCAAACGGAAGCAACAGGAACTTCTGCAGCTGGTTTTTATCAGAAAGATCATCCTGCCTGCGGATGATGTCAAAGGGGCACAAGAAATTGGAGCTGGAGAAGATTGATGGAAGTGCAGGTGTGTAAGGAAACAGAACAGTCTTCTGGGAGTCAGACCTGGAATTCTGATTCCAAACTCTTTATTACTTTGGGAAGCCACTCGGCCTCCCTGTAGCCATCTCCAGGGTGACGGAACCCAGTGTATTACCTGCTGGAACCAAGGAAACTAACAATGTAGGTTACTAGTGAATACCCCAATGGTTTCTCCAGTTATGCCCATGCCACCAAAACAATAAAATAAAATTCTCTAACACTGTAAAGAATGAGCCATGCCTGTTAACACTGTAAAGAATGCAACATGTGGGGGACACACAGGAGCAGGTGGGATGGTTTAATTTAGGATTTTATCATTGCGTGCCCTGCCCTCTGGGGGAACATCCCATCTGAGGTTTCCTTCTGGGTGGGAGGATTTAACTCCTGTCCCAGGGAAAACAGTGTCTGACGAGGAGTGTTTCCAACACAGGCTGCATGAATTCCCCAATACCAGTGCGAAAGCAGCCAGGAGTCCCCGCTGGAAAAGAACAATGCCACTCTCTTTTATGTGTCTTGGTTCTGCAACTCATTTGTTGTAAGTAGCATTCATCGAGTGTCAGGTTCACAGTATCCTGCCCTTAATATTTTATGATTCACTGACTCAAGTTCCACGAAGTCCTTAGAAATGGTCCTCTTCATGTAAATATCTTGAGAATAATAAACGTGAGGGAATAAGAAAGGCAAGCTTTGGACCCAGATATGATAGGTGCATCAGCTTCGAAAGAGAAGAAGGATGTACAGAGTGTTAGGAAGACATCTGGGCTGCTGAGACTCGGGATTAGAAGAAGGAGAGGTAAATAAAGTGGGTCCTGGAATCTTTTAGGACTTTTGCTGCAAGACAAACAGCTGCCTTTGGTGTTTTTGACATCTCCCGAAGTACCCTTCAGCCAATAAATACCATCTGTTGGTGCAACGTGTTTGTGGTCTTGATTTTCTTTTCACCTCTTGAAGCCAAGTGCAACCGTTTTAGATCAAAGGAGGAGAAGCCCTTTGCAGAGTGGGTGGTTGTCTTATGTTGGTTTCCTCTAAAGCAGATCATGTTCAGGTGCACGTGATTTATTACAGAAGTGCTCCCATGAGAAACCAGTAAGGGAATCATGAGTGAAATAGAACAGAGAAGGGAAAGAAGTCAGGCTCTGGCGAAGTCCCAGGCTTAGCTGGATCTCCCAGGGAGCTCAGGAGCCTAAGTTTCATCTCAGAGTTTGTCCTGTCCCACAAAATACACATCAACTAATTCTTGGCTCTGGGCTAATGGAGGGACTTCCTGCACTTCAGACTCTCCCCTAAGGAGGCCCCAATGTCTAAGGGTAAGCCTCTGAAGGCCCCAGAGACCAGCAAAGCACATGAAACTGCAGGATAGGAACCTGGCAAAAGGGATCAGAAAGAGCCTCCGTGGGGCACTTATAGTACTCACTACAGGGGCCAGCTAGAGGTTGTGTGGGCCAAAAATGTATCGGCTGGTTCAAGAAGGGTTCTTCAGGGCTCCAGATTATGATAGATATTTAAATGTAGATTAATAGCACAAGAGGGCCAGGCACGGTGGCTCACGCCTGTAATCCCAGCACTTTGGGAGGCCGAGGCGGGTGGATCACGAGGTCAGGAGATCGAGACCATCCTGGCTAACATGGTGAAACCCCGACTCCACTAAAAATACAAAAAATGAGCTGGGTGTGGTGGCGGGCGCCTGTAGTCCCAGCTACTT